ACACCGTGGTCTCTGGAAGTGTGCCAATCGGTGGTAGGAGGAGGCGTAGGACAGTTTAGTATTGAAGTAGCTCGAGACATTGGATCTGTCGACAACAAGGATGTTAGGGTGACGTAGTGATTTTCTCGAAAAAGAAAGTCCGATAAAGTAAGCCAAAGATTCGGTGTTATAGTCCGAGAAACAAATTATAGATATTACATTGAATTATATTTTAAGTAACAATAAAATGATATTTTAAAATGTGCACATTTAGATCACATTTAGCCATTGATTATAAATAACAGACAAATAAATTTGTTTTCTGATTTCGGATATCAACTATCCGGTATGTATTTATACCTATAGATTGAAGGAGTTTTGTTTGCCAAATTACTATAATTGTTATTTTGTGTTGGGAAAGGGTAATGTAATATTGCAATACCTTGTGCACAGTCCTGTTAATGATTATTATGAGATCAAGATATGTTTGAAACGAACATTATAATATTATCAAGAAATCATTCCCATTAAACGTTAAAGGACACTCCATTTTCTCCGTCAATTATAAGATAATATGTAAATACAAAAAAAAAAAAAAAGAAAAAAAAATTTTTAACAAGTAACTCGTAATATAACAACAAAAGTTACAATAATCATTTTCTTCTTCCCAAATATCATCTATAGGTTTCTATTTTTTCAAAACCTACGCAACTAAATTCAGCAATGAACTCCTGTTTTTTAAGATGTATCTCATATGAGACAGTAATCTAATATTGGGTATTATTACAAATAAGATATCCGTGCTGTGTGATCTAGATTATCAGGCGGAACAGGTAGTGAAGGAAGTAAATTGCATGGTTACATGATAGGGATATATCTGAGACGTTCGCGACATAACCATTCATGAAGTAGAGTGTGAATTGTTTTATATTTCAGACAAGTTTAAGGTGAAACTATCAAATGTTTTTTGGAGGAAGTTATAACATTTAAGAACAGTTGAAATGTATAACTAAGTGTTCGATAACTTACTGGTAAGGGGAAAATAGGTTTGTTCTTGCGCGACTTTGTCACCTGATGAACCGCATAGTGACTGATTCATACCCATGTTTTTAGGTATAAAAATATCACACGCTGAATATCACAAACCACGATGGTGTTTGAGTTTTGACAATGATGGTCTTCTCTGTATCATAATGTAGTGAGTTTCAATTAAACTCCGTCCAACAGTGTAGGAGTTGAGCTTACAAGGTTCTGCACATATGGATAATCAGATATGGTGATGGCTACATAGCCCTCGGAAATGTCATGGCGTCCGCTATTTTCCCAGATAGAGAGAATGTTTAACAATGTACTGGGGCTTATCAGCAAATAAAACATTAAGCAAAATGTACACGGAGATTTTGGATTAGTTTTTTTTCAAAATGGTAAAAAAACCAGGGTCGGTGGTGAAAAAAAAAAGTAGAAAAATAGGCAAGAAATCTACATGTAGTTGTTACTATTTAAATAATATCAAAATATCTAATTATCTATGAGAAATATACACTTGATATTTAAAGATATTGTCGACATAACTTTCTAGTATTTCAGCTGATAGGTACAAAAAACATCGTAGGATATCAATTGCTTTCCTTGTGTTTACAATACATTGGATATAGACCTAATGGCTTACAAATATCACTTAGCACGAGCTGGGATAGAACTCTAAAACAATCAAACAAAAGACCATTTCAAAACTTACCAAGTTTGGGCACTAAAGCAGGTACTAGGTTACACAAGTAAATGAACGAGTCCACCTGCTGTACATAGTAAGAATCTGGATCACTCGATATCCCTCTAATTTCATCATTACTTGTTGACACAGCACTACCAATCCCGATGGTAAATATTTCGGTATTGTTCAATGCCTTTAACAATTCTGCTTGTCTCAGTGTATTGTGAGGATTATCTGACTGTCCATCCGTCAATAACACCACAGTCTTATTAGCGTCGGGTCTCCCACCATGGCTTGGAAGAAAGGACGTCTTGCGCACAAATTCTAAAGCTTCAGCGGTTTCTGTACTTCCATGTGGACTGTTGTAGATCAAACGTTTCAAATTTGGAAGGAGTTCGGCACTGGAATTGAATTTTTTCAGTTTGAATTTCTCGTCAATTTCTGTATTGAATGTCACAACTGATATCTGGATATCATCTGGTCCAATTGTCAGCCATTTTGTGACGTTATAGATAAAATCAACAGCCTGCACCTCACTCTGGTTTGATATGCTTCCAGAAGTGTCAACCAGAAAGACGATATCTAGAAAGAAGGTGTAAGAAATTATATAAGTATCAGAATCGTTATGATAAAATATTTATGAAAAATGTTTTCGTAATGTTGAAGATGGCTTTCGTAGGCTTCACCACATCGGAAACTCATTTGCAAAATGATAACCCATTAAGCTTTTCCAGTTTCTGAAAAGGAATTATTTATTCATATATGGGATCCAGAAAAAACAAAAAAGAGTATATGCAATGGTATTCCCTCGTTCGGCCCCAAACAAATTTCTGTCTCTACCATCAAAGTATCATCGTTAAAGAGTTCAGCCGCTTATGACGTATGCTACTGTTGGTTGATGACACAGGGATTTGGCACAAATTCCCGATTCACGGTCCATATACATTAACACCATATATATTATGGTGACAATACATATATATGGTGTGATAAATATTTGGGGCTTTTCTCATTGTTTTTGGAACAAACCTCCAATTTCGATTTGGATAAAGTAATATACGGAACACTGTTAATGTTAATTGCAGCCTGTTACAATGTTGTTAGTTTTTCGGAGAATAAGAAACATGTATTACAGTGAAGCTTAAATACTTAGTGTCGTAAGTGGATAAGAAGTGTTTCATTAATTGAATAACGTAATGGCGTACAAATTGAGGAGGTTGTCTATAAAAGAAAACTAATCAATAAAAAGTGAATGATCCGACACAGCAACGTCTAAATTGTTGAAACGAGGTCAAGTTTAAAAACAAGAAAGAATGATAAGGAAAGTTAAAATAAGCATAAGTAGATTTATTGAGCTAAAAGAATGAAAATTATTGAGTCCGCGAACAAATATTATTTTACAGTAAGTAACGATACCTTTCTCGCCCTTCTGATTATTCATCACTTCCTGATTCGCCAAGCTTCCAATGCTGGTCGTAGTCATTTTCTGCAGCATTGTTGTTGCGCGTGTTGTTCGCGTCCGTGAGAGTGTGACTTCTTGTGAAGTGGACGACAAATAGACACCGTGGTCTCTGGAAGTGTGCCAATCGGTGGTAGGAGGAGGCGTAGGACAGTTTAGTATTGAAGTAGCTCGAGACATTGGATCTGTCGACAACAAGGATGTTAGGGTGACGTAGTGATTTTCTCGAAAAAGAAAGTCCGATAAAGTAAGCCAAAGATTCGGTGTTATAGTTTGAGAAACAAATTATAGATATTACATTGAATTATATTTTAAGTAACAATAAAATGATATTTTAAAATGTGCACATTTAGATCAAATTTAGCCATTGATTATAAATAACAGACAAATAAATTTGTTTTCTGATTTCGGATATCAACTATCCGGTATGTATTTATACCTATAGATTGAAGGAGTTTTGTTTGCCAAATTGCTATAATTGTTATTTTGTGTTGGGAAAGGGTAATGTAATATTGCAATACCTTGTGCACAGTCCTGTTAATGATTATTATGAGATCAAGATATGTTTGAAACGAACATTATAATATTATCAAGAAATCATTCCCATTAAACGTTAAAGGACATTCCATTTTCTCAGTCAATTATAAGATAATATGTAAATACAAAAAAAAAAAAAAAAAAAAAAAAAATTTAACAAGTAACTCGTAATATAACAACAAAAGTTACAATAATCATTTTCTTCTTCATGTAGACTGATGACCTTACCTGAAATACTTCCCACACGTCATCTGTAGGTTTCTTTTTTTTTTCAAAAACCTACGCAACTAAATTCAGCAATGAACTCCTGTTTTGTATGATGTATGTCAGATGAGACAGTGATCTTTTATTGGGTATTATTACAAGTTTCGTAATCTGTGTAATTGCATTTCAGTCTTTATCACATCCATATCCTGAATAAGATATCCGTGCTGTGTTATCTAGATTATCAGGCGGAACAGGTAGTGAAGGAAGTAAATTACATGGTTACATGATAGGGATATATCTGAGACGTTCGCGACATAACCATTCTTGAAGTAGAGTGTGAATTGTTTTATATTTCAGACAAGTTTAAGGTGAAACTATCAAATATTTTTGGAAGGAAGTAATAACATTTAAGAACAGTTGAAATGTGTAACTAAGTGTTCGATAACTTACTGGTAAGGGGGAAAATAGGTTTGTTTTTGCGCGACTTTGTCACCTGATGTATCGCATATCCATGTTTTAGGTATAAAAATATCACACGCTGAATATCACAAACCACGATGGTGTTTGAGTTTTGACAATGATTGTCTTTCCTTTATCACAATGTAGTGAGTTTCAATTAAACTCCGTCCAACAGTGTAGGAGCTGAGCTTACAAGGTTCTGCACATATGGATAATCAGTGATAGGGTGATAGCTACATATCATCTCAGATAGAGAGAATGTTTAACAATGTACTGGGGCTTATCAGCAAATAAAACATAAACAAAATCTACACGGAGATTTTGGATTAGTTTTTTACCCCAAAATGTAAAAAAAAATCAGGGTCGGTGGTGAAAAAAGTCGAAAAATAGGCAAAAAAAATACATGTAGTTGTTACTATTTTAATAATATCAAAATATCTAATTATCTATGAGAAAAATACACTTGATATTTAAAGATATTGTCGACATAAGTTTCTAGTATTTCAGTCGATAGGTACAAAAAATATCGTAGGATATCAATTAGTTTCCTTGTGTTTACAGTACATTTGATATAGAACCATTGGCTTAAAAACGTCATTTAGTACGAGCTGAGATATAACTCTAAAAACAATCAAACAAAAAACCATTTCAAAACTTACCAAGTTTGGGCACTAAAGCAGGTACTAGGTTACACAAGTAAATGAACGAGTCCACCTGCTGTACATAGTAAGAATCTGGATCACTTGATATCCCTCCAATTTCATCATTACTTGTTGACACCGCACTACCAATCCCGATGGTAAATATTTCGGTATTGTTCAATGCCTTTAACAATTCTGCTTGTCTCAGTGTATTGTAAGAATTATCTGACTGTCCATCCGTCAATAACACCACAGTCTTATTAGCGTCGGGTCTTCCGCCATGGCTTGGAAGAAAGGAAGTCTCGCGCACAAATTCTAAAGCTTCAGCGGTTTCTGTACCTCCATGTGGACTGTTGTAGATCAAACGCTTCAAATTTGGAAGGAGTTCGGCACTGGAATTGAATTTTTTCAGTTTGAATTTCTCGTCGATCTCTGTATTGAATGTCACAACTGATATCTGGATATCATCTGGTCCAATTGTCAGCCATTTTGTGACGTTATAGATAAAATCGACAGCTTGCTTCTCATCCCGGCTAAAAATGCTTCCAGAAGAGTCAACCAGAAAAACGATATCTACAAACAAAGAGTAAGAAATTTTATAAGTATCAGAATGGTTATGGTAGAATATATATCACACTGTTTTCGTAATATCGAAGATGGCTTCCGAAGGCTACAGCCACATCGGAAACTCATTTGCGAAATAACATTTCTCAATTTCTGAAAATGAAACATTGGTTCCTCTATGGGACGCAGAAACTAACAAAAATGATTACATGCATTGGAACTCACTGAAACAGTCCCGTCAAAGAAATTCCGATCTCTACCATCAACTGACAATGAACTGTCGCTGACGATTTCAGCTTTTTGGGACGTAGATACTGTAAGAAAAGCGGGCATAGGGGTTAATTGGGATTCTATTGAAATATATAGAGAAAACATGGTCAGTGACTTGAAATATAAGCTGTATTTTGGCAAGGGTGAAGAAACACAAAGCCGAGCCACGCTGATCTTTCTGTCCCGAGCCAAAATATGGCTTATATTTTAAGACACTGGCCATGTATTCTATTTATCCTGCAACATTAATTGAAAATCAGACTATTGAAACTTGGACAGTTTTGTTGTTCAATCTGTGTTTACCTTACATTGACGTTAGGCTGAATTTTGTCTGACGACGGACACCAAAATAATCATTCCGCGCAAAAACCAAAGTTCAAAACTTCGTCGGATAGAACACTGATTTTCTGAATACATCTGTTTTCCGTCACTGCCGAATACAGCAAAAATATATGTGAAAGGCAGTGCCAGTTGTAGGATAAAGTACAATATATGGTCTATGGCTGCAATTTACACATGATTTTATACACTTTGTGATATGTCCTCGTATGTTTGCGACAATCTAACAAGGATATACCACCTGATTGTGTCCGGCAAGGTTGCCTTCTCTGTCGCCATTTTTCCGTGAAGTATACCGTTGCGGTTCACGTGATTTCCCAACTTGTATCACCGCAACTTTGAAAACATGCATAACTGTTTCTACGTCCGCGCTACGGTCTAGGGCGTTTTAACCCTTATCCATCATTTCGTCATGTTTAGTTTTCACTTATTTACTGTCTAACGGATACAAATATAAAACTGTAATTTACCATCTTCTTGTAAAATAATAATATGAAGGTCAAACTCTAATCAGGTTATGGTCAATTATTTTTCCAGAGTTATTGTCGTTAAAATTGATTAACTTTAATTATTTTTTTTTAAAATCATGACTGCCCATTAAATTTCAAGTTTGGGTTAAGAAGGAGACATGCATAAATATTCTCAATGTACTCGAAATGTTTGGGTTTTATATGAATTCATGAAATTATATTGCATATAAGTTCTAATATCAACACTTGCAGGAAATCTTGATCATATGATAAATAGAATATTGCATTCGTTACTATTCATACGATTATAAAATTCCTCTGGCCATATGCTCTAATCATTTGCCATGTGAAGAAGAAGAAGAAGAAGAAGAAGAAGAAGAAGAAGAAGAAGAAGAAAAGAAGAAATAGTATATCTATATAATAATTAGCGTTGAAAACTTAAAAAATAAAATAGAAGATTTTCGGATATTACATACCTTTTTTGATTGCCTTAGTTCTCCCAGTAGAGAAACACAGTATTAAGGTGAATAAAATCTTTGCTACTCCGTCGTGCATTTTGAACCACTAAATCATTTCCTCCGAACTAAAGAAAAACGAAGCAAGTAATCTGGTTTTATATCCTAAAAGATAAAAAAAAGTTTCAAATGTTTCAGTTTAAGCTCTTAAGTTTCACGTCTGGTAAAAGGTATGACTCAAGTAAATATACGAAGTAGATAAACTATTGATTTTCGTTTCGATTCGATTTCTAGATATCGTTAACGACACTTAACCCGACAAATAAATGAGCAATCTCCTTCACCTTTGATTTGATACGTATTAAAAATTCTCATACATCATGACCTTTAAAGTGTTGGATAATGTTCAACTCTGATATTGATTTCCATTTCAAAACAAACGGTAAAATCCCTTCCAGATATCAAGTATTTAAGTGTTTTGTGGTGTTTCAGGTTCTGAGCATTTCTTGTTGTACTACGTGACTTTGGTAGATCACGTGATATGTAATTAAATACTCTTGAATACACTTCTATATAAAGACCAATCTCTTATCTGGTTTTATTTGATTTCGATAAAACGTTATCTCAAGTTTACAGAAAAAAACTTCCTGGTTGAAATTCACTCTGTTATCAGTGTGATAGAATATCGGTAATTACTAATTTCCTAACGTGTCAAAGGGGGTATGTATGGTAGCGAATATGGGTCGTTTTAATCTTTTCATTGCTTCGTACAAATTTTCATTGGTTCTATTGTGAAATCTGAAATTTTTGTTGTCTTCTCGCTGTGCATTATTTCACAATGACGTTAATTCGTTTGACGTGTTTTTTACAATGTCGTTATTTTTCTTTTTTTTTTCGTGCTTTTTTTCATTTTTTTTTTGTCCTTTTACTAATTTTTTATCTGGACTGTCGTTTTCTCTGTGTGATAATTAATACAGAACTCCGTTATAATTTGAATAATTCAGCCGAACTAATGCCTACTATTTCCGGTTATGTGCTTTAGTTCAGATGAGTGTATTTTACGTACTCGAGAAAAGCAACCTTTTTGAGAATCATATTACCAGTCAAAATAACCAGAAAGCCTTACACGTAAACATAAAACTTTTATCATGATAAATATAGGATCTTTCATGAGTTTCAATTTGATGTATCACATGATCAATTTTTCCTAGCAAATACGGTAGAAAAATGGACATTTCTATGTCAAACTCCAAGTGATGTCCCCTCTGCATATATACATGATTTCCACTGATATCTGTGTGTGAATGTGTGACGTCATTTGATTATCAAACTTAACGTCGCAATAAATACATGTATATTACACGTGGAATTCGAACAAAAAATTACGAGTATACACTGAATATCAGCTATCTGCGATGCAAGGGAAGTAACTGTTACACACAGTTTGATCAGTCCTCGAGCAGGAATCCGGTGTAATAAAATACCCGGGTTTTTTCCTCATTGTTCTGGGTTCAAACCTCAAATTTCGGGGTTTTTTCAGATAAAATGTTTAACGGCGCACTGTTAATGTTAAATACAGTTAACATCCCATTGAAACATTTTGAAATTAAGTTGGTTGCAATCGAAATATATAAACTTATTATTCAAAGGTCAATGTCAACAGGTCAAAGGTCAGTTTACTTTGTATCGTTTACTCGTACTCTATACAATTTCGTATGTTGTTTGGAAACAAAGATTATCCAATTAATGAAAAATCGATTGGCATATCAACAAGTCAAATTTTCAGTCAATAGAATACATACATTATGTAATTGTCACGATATACTATAAATTTGTTCAGATTCAGTACTAAGATGAGTACTTATGTTTTGTTCTTTAAGCCATCTCACCATTCATCTGCTTGGCAATCAACTGGTGAACATGTAACAAATTTAGCTTATCAGAATATCATGAATCATTATTCTGCGTCCATGTTGTACCGAAATAGTTTATGTCCTTATGCAGGTCAAGGTTTTTAAGAGTTGGATGCCTAAATGTATGGCAGGGTTTGACTTAGATTTAAACAGATATTGAATATAGTTACGTTGATACAAATCCTCCCTCCTTTCCAGTATTGTGCATGTTCAAAGATTCTAGCTTTGTGTGTTGACTACCCTTCCTCTCAAGAACATACAAAATGATTGATGGTTGACCATTAACTGCTATATTTCTTGTCTTTGGTATATCCCTTTGTAGATTGTCACCAAGCTCTCTGAGGACGTTGTCATGTCACCAGCTGTCCCTGAGCAGCTCCTGTTACACAGAATGCAGCTCCTCTGTTACACAAAGATCAGCTCCTCTGTTACATAAAGGTCAGCTCCTCTGTTACACAAAGGTCAGCTCCTCTGTTACACAAAGGTCAGCTCCTCTGTTACATAAAGGTCAGCTCCTCTGTTACACAAAGGTCAGCTCCTCTGTTACACAGAAGGCAGATCCACTGTTACACAAAGGTCAGCTCCTCTGTTACACAAAGGTCAGCTCCTCTGTTACACAAAGGTCAGCTCCTCTGTTACACAAAGGTCAGCTCCTCTGTTACACAAAGGTCAGCTCCTCTGTTACATAAAGGTCAGCTCCTCTGTTACACAAAGGTCAGCTCCTCTGTTGAGGAGAGGACAGTTCCTCTTGTTCTTCTATTTGTTTGGAATAGGTTATGCTAGTCATATGGGAGAAAATTTAAGTATAAAAAAACAAAGAGCAATAAGAGAGATATGATTCTTGTACACAGCCCTCCTTCTCGTTCAGATCAATCTATGTTTTATGTTGATACCTCATTCAGTTTTTGTGTTATGCTCCGGTCAAAATACGCACACACACAGACGGACAAAGCGGTGTCCTTAGGTAAAACAGTTCACACTAATAGTAATACTAATAGTATATGACAGGCCTCCTGTATGTTGTTAATGGAGGTAGTCTTTAGCTTCTTCAAAAAACTCCACTCCAAAATTACTCTGGCTGTTCACAGGCGATAAAACCAGCAAACAAAGTATTTGTCATCTCTCACCATTGTCTGTTTTCTGAAGAAAATGAAAAGTTTCTTTTCTCCAAGGCACATGAAAATATGTCTACTTGAAATTTTTAAAGGAAAGAAAACAATAATTCATTAATAGTTTATTTTTCAGTAACAAACAATAAACAAAATGAAGCACATGTCAAATTCATCCAAATTTCCTATATTCACTTATAAATAATGCTTTTCTGAAACATCCGAAATATCTGAAACATTTCTTAACAAGGGCACCCGACTGTCTAAACAAGGGCCTCTGACTGTCTAAACAAGGACACCTGGCTGTCTAAACATGGGCACCCGACTGTCTGAACAAGGGCACCCGACTGTCTAAACAAGGGCCTCTGACTGTCTAAACAAGGGCCTCTGACTGTCTAAACAAGGACACCTGGCTGTCTAAACATGGGCACCTGACTGTCTTAACAAGGGCACCTGACTGTCTTAACAGGTACACCTGACTGTCTTAACAAGAGCACCTGACTGTCTTAACAAGGACACCCGACTGTCTAAACAAGGACACCTGGCTGTCTAAACATGGGCACCTGACTGTCTTAACAAGGGCACCTGACTGTCTTAACAGGTACACCTGACTGTCTTAACAAGCGCACCTGACTGTCTTAACAAGGGCACCTGACAATCCTTCTTTCTAGGCTGTTACAAACAAAACATTATCATCTCTATGTCTGCAGTTCTTAAGAAGTTACACTACTAAAGCACTAATTCACAGTTACTTTGCGATAAGTAACCAGTGTAAAGTAACATTCTTTAGATAAACCCCATAAATAATATTTGCACTCTCAGTTTATCACAAAGAAAAAACACACTGTTCCTCAAAATGACATAAAAATTGACAGATGCACAATCTTACGTCTTCAATTCATACATGCAATGGAAGTCATGATCTGACATGGCCACATTGGTTAAGACTATCAGTACATAATTTCACAACCTTTTCAAATCATCCACACACACATTGTAAGTAATTCTTAAACAATTTTAGAGCACTTATTGTCCATAGTACATTAAAATAAGTCAGTCACTCCCATTTTTGCGCTATAACAAGGTCCTACATTTGTGGAACGAACCGAAACTCTTCCATACCCTCTGCTGATATCTTTGTTCTCTATCGGTGAACCGACATACACAGGTCTATGACTCTAGTAGGGCTTTCAACTTCCAATAGACCCTGGACCTTTTAGTTCTCCTAGTTCACAGACTCTGTGCAACACTGGTCAGATTACAACATTCTTCATGAAGGTACCAGTTATCATTACATGGGGTGATGTTAAAGATGCTCTGATCAATGTGTTCAACGAGCATGCAAGTCTTGTACTTTAGCCTTGACCAGCCGTGAACATCCACTGTCAAAAAAAAAAAAAAAAAAAATCAAAATGAGAGAAATTGAATTACGCAACCAGGACTGACATACTTTCTTCACCAAGCAAACTAATAGAAAACTTTTACAAATATTGTTGTTTTGTATAGAAACAAAGATCATATCTAGAAAGTTTCCATAAATCTATTATACAGTATATTGAATGAAACATCTACCTGACCCTTAAACTGAGATAAATCACTTATCTCAATGTTTTATTTCCTATCTAATTATTATCAATGAATTGTTACAGGTGGTACCCCTAAACAAAATCTGAAGTCCTAGGGTGGGAAAGATGTTTTAGTTGAATAGCCCTTACTCTTATAATTCATCATTTAAACTCTATTTCACTTCATGTGATAAAAATCTTTGTTTCATACAAGCTCTAAGATACCTACTTTTGATCTTTGCGGACTTTGAAGAACCAGTCGACATAGTCAGACCGCCCTAGCAGTTCTACGAAGTCCTCGTCGTGTGTAATAACAACCAGCTGAAAGTTTCTCTGCTCCTTCCTGCTCTTTATGATCCTGTCATCAAAAGATAATTGTTCCTCAAGTACAAATTAGCAAGAAGGTTACTAATTACAGAAAAAATAATCTGGATGCACTGATCAAGGAAACTGAGTTTTCAAAAAATGTATCATTTTTATAAAACACTATTTATAGCCAGATACGTTGAAGCTATCTTAAGTGGTGTACTCATGACTCATGAAATGGAATGAAAGTCCTGCCTGATTAATCTAAAATAAAACTGACTCTCTCCCTGCTGAATCTATAGTAAAGAATCTAAAACTGAAGTTCTGTCTTTACATTTTGTTTTAATTATAATTCTTACTGGAGTAAAGCAAAGCTCTCCCATACTGTTCTTACCATAAATGATTTTTGTGAAAATTTTGCTAGAATTTTTTTGGAAACAAAAAGGACATAACACTTGTGATAATAAACTGTACATAACCATCCAAAACTTCATATCACGATTACACAACTACATACCAAATTACAGGTGTATATAAGTATTACACAACTACATACCAAATTACAGGTGTATATAAGTATTACACAACTACATACCAAATTACAGGTGTATATAAGTATTACACAACTACATACCAAATTACAGGTGTATATAAGTATCAGTTACAGAACAAGCGAGTGGAAACAAAATTATGGCAGATTATATACAACATTACAACTTTATGCTCCAACTAAGAAATCTCCTCTACAGAAATTACCACAACCTTATTTCAACAAGGAATTTGATTGCTAAAAACACACCTAATCCAAACCACAATTACTGCGAGAAAATTATCCAGAACTTGAAACATATTTACAGATAATTTCAGGTCTCTGTAGAGTGGTAAAAGTTCAGTATTTATACAGCATCCTTACTCAACAAGTGCATAAGCCAAGCTCTCAATGTTTTCTCTGTCCAGGTTTGTGGTCGGTTCGTCTAGTGCCAGCACTCCACAGTTCAGGCAGAATGTTTCGGCTAGAGCAAGGCGGATTATTAGTGAGGCGAGTACCTGGGTGACAAATATAATGAATATTTACAGTGTCTGGTCATTGATATAAATACAAATGACTTTGAGCTTGCAATACTTCTCTAAACCATTAAAAGTCATTAAACTGTTATAAAGAGAAAGAAAACAAACCACTTAATTATTTCTCTGACCTATGAATGTCACTCAAGCTCCATTCCATCTTTTTGCAAATTTGCTGATTAATCTCTCAGTAATGAATAATCAAATTTGATTATACTATACAAATCTGTTTACATTTTTGAAGTAGTAGATTGTTTTGACCATGGAATTAACACATTTAATTTGCTTAAATGCATTTTTTTTCTTGGTCCTGGTTTATGTCCGAATTTCACTCTATATAAAAACATAAAATTTTCGTAAATCTTGCATGGGTCAGCATTGGCTAACCTGTTCAATAGCTTACAAACAAGACTGCATCAGTTTGTTACATAAATTTCTGCCCACTTTTACATGCATTCCGCAAGCAATATACTACATAAATACTTTGACCCAGGGCAAATTTGTCTTTGGAAAGAAGAATTTCAAATTTCAAAACACTTGTTTTAATGATTTTAACACATTTAACCCTGTGACCTTAAAGTGGGCCAAGGTCATTCGTTTGAAAAAAAAATCCTAGCATCCTACTATAGTTTGAGGGGAAAGGCTGATGACGGAGGAAACCCCTTGCAAGTGTCCATATCACTGACAGTTATTGACTAAACTGATAAATTCATTTTTTTTATTACAACAACAGTTTAAAACCCAATGGCAGGGCCAGGTGGAGTGTTATGCTGCAGTGTCCAGGTAATGACATTTCAGTGTGACAGCACTATAAAAACTTCTGTCAGTGTCCCAATTATCTGCAGACACAAATTCATATGATTATGCAAGAACGTAATACCTCAAGCATATCATGCTTCCCTAATACAAATGTGTATTATAAGGTATCTGCTACCTTAGTATACACACCAGCAATCAATCACCTTTATGAAATATTTTTCATTCAAAACCCACAATACTGAATATGTAACACACCTAATTAGCCTGTACATGTATACTACAATGAAGGTCTGTCTCACCTTTTGACCAGCACTACAACGCCCTCTCATATCCAGCACAGCCCCACTTTTCACCATAACAACTCTGTAGTTGTATGTTCGCCTCGTCTTCATGATTCCTGCATCATCTTCGTCTGACCTGATCTCAATCGTGTCAATATCTACAAATACAGTTGAAGTTTTAATTGTAAAGTGGACCTGAAAAAAACATGTGGTAAGTTCTGTGTTGTTTATTCCTTAATGTCCCTACAGATAAACTGTTTGATTCCATGATAACTCCTAATAGCAACATCGTTGAAGAACAGCTGATGCAACACACTGATCTTGTGTCAGAGACAAATGTAAAATACCACTGAGTTAATATTCATTATACACTAATTATTTAACAATAACTTTGTATCGTAAACCACTAACCAAAAGGCCCAATGGGCATTAACTGCTCATCTGTTCTACAGCTTACAAAGTGCAAATCTGAAAGCCCATTGCCCCTGAATACTTCCATACAAACACCATGACACTGGGTTTAAATGTCATTGAAAATTCATTAGAAGATTTGAATACATTTGATCCCTTGAAAGAGGGTTGAGTTCATTCAGTAAAACAAACTTGGAAGCCCTTCTTTTCAGCATGTTGCATGCCCAGTATCAGGGTGTGGAATCCTTTTGTGACGGAATTACTGTAGTTGATTTTGTATTCATATGTCCATGAATTGTTATAATCAATCGAAGTTTATTCATCGAGATATACTAATCCATGAAATCAATTGTTCCTGAAATAATAATTAAAAAGGAACAGGAAAATTGAGCCCCACAATACGATCTTACATCACCTACTTACTGTTACTGTGGTATGTGTTCCTCCAAAGTTGTGACAGACCATACTTACCACTACGGTGGTATGTGTTCCTCCAAAGTTGTGACAGACCATACTTACCATTACCGCGGTATGTGTTCCTCCAAAGCTGTCACAGACCATACTTACCATTACCGCAGTATGTGTTCCTCCAAACTTGTGACAGACCATACTTACCATTACTGCGGTATGTGTTCTTCCAAAGCTGTCACAGACCATACTTACCATTACCGCGGTATGTGTTCCTCCAAAGTTGTCACAGACCATACTTACCACTACCGCGGCATGTGTTCCTCCAAAGTTGTGACAGACCATACTTACTGTTACTGCCGTATGTGTTCCTCCAAAGTTGTCACAGACCATACTTACCGTTACTGTGGTATGTGTTCCTCCAAACTTGTGACAGACCATACTTACTGTTACTGCGGTATGTGTTCCTCCAAAGTTGTCACAGACCATACTTACCATTACCGCGGTATGTGTTCCTCCAAAGTTGTGACAGACCATACTTACCATTACTGCGGTATGTGTTCCTCCAAAGTTGTGACAGTCCATACTTACCATTACCGCAGAATGTGTTCCTCCAAAGTTGTGACAGACCATACTTACCATTACCACGGTATGTGTTCCACCAAGTTGTGACAGACCATACTTACCATTACCGCAGAATGTGTTCCTCCAAAAATGTGACAGACCATACTTACCGTTACCGTGCTATGTGTTCCTCCAAAGTTGTCACAGACCATACTTACCGTTACTGCGGTATGTGTTCCTCCAAAGTTGTGACAGACCATACTTACCGTTACCGCGGTATGTGTTCCTCCAAAGTTGTGACAGACCATACTTACCGTTACCGCAGTATGTGTTCCTCCAAAGTTGTCACAGACCATACTTACCGTTACCGCGGTATGTGTTCCTCCAAAGTTGTCACAGACCATACTTACCGTTACCGCGGTATGTGTTCCTCCAAAGTTGTGACAGACAATACTTACCGTTACCGCGGTATGTGTTCCTCCAAAGTTGTGACAGACCATACTTACCGTTACCGCGGTATGTGTTCCTCCAAAGTTGTGACAGACCATACTTACCGTTACCGCGGTATGTGTTCCTCCAAAGTTGTGACAGACCATACTTACCGTTACCGCGGTATGTGTTCCTCCAAAGTTCGCAGATTATTTTGTTGATTTCATCCATCTTCAGACTATGATAACTCATAATAGCCCTGAAAATTTACTCACAGATCATCAAAATGTTTCACAGCATATACAAATTTTACATGTGATCTGCCAGTTATAATGACCAGGTGTATCATTATGATGTAATGTATATCAGGTATTTTTTGCATTTATCTTAATTATGAAAAATTCTAACTTAAAGTAAAGAAATGCACTTTATACTCCACATGGCACAGTTACTCCTGACGATAATCAGGACAGGAAATGATGCAGATATTTTCAGGATTTTTCAAGGAAAGATTTTCTACCTTGAAATAAGTCATTGGAGCCTTATCTTAACCCTGACTCAAGGACAAGAATATAGGCTTATTACAGGACAATGATACAGCATTATGGTTAGGATTCTTGTAAAAGGTATTTTAATGACAGGTGGGCTTATTACAGGACAATGATACAGTATTATAGTTAGCATTTTTTTAAAATATATTTTAGTAACAGATGGGCTTATTACAGGACCATGATCTAGAATTAAAGTTAGATTTTTCATAGAAAATATTTTAATGACAGGTGGGCTTATTACAGGACAATGATACAGTATTATAGTTAGCATTTTTTAAAAATATGTTTCAGTAACAGGTGGGCTTATTACAGGACAATGATATAGCATTATACTTTAAATTTTTTGTAATATGTTTCAGTAACAGATTTATTACAGGACAATGATCTAGAATTAAAGTTAGAATTTTTTGTAATATGTTTCAGTAACAGGTGGGCTTATTACAGGACAATGATATAGCATTATACTTTAAATTTTTTGTAATATGTTTCAGTAACAGGTGGGCTTATTACAGGACAATGATATAGCATTATACTTTAAATTTTTTGTAATATGTTTCAGTAACAGATGGGCTTATTACAGGACAATGATCTAGAATTAAAGTTAGAATTTTTTGTAATATGTTTCAGTAACAGGTGGGCTTATTACAGGACAATGATATAGCATTATACTTTAAATTTTTTGTAATATGTTTCAGTAACAGGTGGGCTTATTACAGGACAATGATATAGCATTATACTTTAAATTTTTTGTAATATGTTTCAGTAACAGGTGGGCTTATTACAGGACAATGATCTAGAATTAAAGTTAGAATTTTCATAAAAAACTGTTTTACTTTTTGGTGGGCTTATTACCAGGCATAGGCTTATTGCCAGAGAACAGTGTAACAATGTGTAATAGACATACTTATCGAGGGCCTTGTAATACTTCTCCAGGTCACTGTTAGCTAGCTCAGTTGTCTGTGAAAATCAAATCATAATGGAGTCATACATAATCCCTTATTCATTGCAAATTCAAAACAGATATTGTTCAGTTGAGACAAATATAGGACTTTATAACAAGAACAATTTTATTCTATTTGCACTTTCTAATAAACTCTGAAGTATGAAAAATATGAATATGTAGGGCCATCCTTTCTTGACTTCAATAAAATGTAACAATTTCTGTACTCATGATCAAATTCATCAGCTATTTCACGAAGGAGGTGCAGCATGATTTCTGTGACATAATCTCCTTCAATTATGATATCTACTGTACATATTTTATTTCTGTTTCTACGATATACATTAACATCAATGAGTATGACCCAAATCCATTAACTGATACAGCCACTCCATACAATGTAAATATTTAAGAGGTAATCTTAAATGAGTGCTTTTCCAACTGAAAGAATTGTATGATTGCATTAACTGCGATTAAATTAATGCTACTTATAAATGTAATTAAGTGGATACACAAATTTATCATTCCACTAAAATGCCAAGTTAATGATGTGCTAAACTTTGACTGCACCAAATTAAGAACTTTTCGGAATTCATACTTGAAATAGCCACTTTTTTACCTCTTTGATTTTTCATCTTCATTTTTATGTAAGAGCTACAAGAATGAGCCAGCGTTAACACAAAACAGCCATGCTGATCAGTCTCTTAGAGAACTAATAATTCTTTAATTTTCCATGCTAAAAATTTGGCTTTTAAGCAGAGAAAATAAAGTCATCTCTGATCAGAATAATTTAAACAAATCATTTGTCAAAATGGGACAATCCTTTCTTTGTCTCGTGGAATAAATACCCTGAGCAGAATCATCTTGTCACGGTATTTCTGTGAGGCGTCTTTGTACATATCGTCCTGAAGTTCTCTCTTGAGTGCTCGAATCTGGTCTTCAAAACCTCGCTGTCGTCCAACTACCAAGTGTTTCTATGGAAACAGCATACCACAAAATCATTTCAAGACATGTCATGAACTGATATCATGGCACTGTCAGCTTAACTACACTTTATGTATTTAGGATTTACTGATAATCCAGACATCATATGAAAATATCAGTCTATCTAGATATACTGTATTAACCTCTTGTGAATAATGACTAGAGTTTTATTGTGTTTTCTAGAAAAACATGAAGTCTGGAATAAACTATAATATAAAATTTATCCTATTGAGTGCTAGCCAGAGATATTCAGTAGAAAATTTCTTTCAATTTCAAGCTTTCATTCAGCTACATTGTATAGCACACCTTCAAAACTAAATAATGAGGACTAGAGGTCAGAAGGAAGAATACTGAAAATCAAAGGACATTTGTACCTCTTTGATAAGGTCCTCTTGTTGATTAATCAGACGTTTGCGATCTCGTTCAAGATCGTAAGCGTCAACTCCTCCCAATTGTTTTCGGAGTTCAGTCAGATCTTTCACCATTTTCTCTATTTCTTGCTGTTTCTTCCTCAGGGCTAAGTTGTCTAGTAATTCCCTCTCCCGTACCTACAGATGTTAAAAAAACAATCAGATTTTACTTTTTACCACAATATGGTACACATATCACACACTTTTAATCAATTTCATTTTATTTTGGAGGAGGTAGGGGTGGGATGATGGAGTCTAGCGCCAGAAATTAGAATCATCAACCCATTACATGTTTGTTAGTTGGTTAGCTGGATTTAACACCACATGAACAGTCATGGGCATTTTCAGGTGGGTGTCCCTTTAAAGCTAGTGGCTACCTCACTGAACAACATACAGGAGGTTGTTACATGCCATACAGAACAATTATGTTAAGGCGTCTTGCCCAAGCACACAACTACAGTATAGACTGGTCTGTTTCTTAGCTTCCTGACAAACACTAGCAATACTTGTCAATACTAGCAGTAGTACAGTGTTATATATACAGAAGAGTATATACCTGTTGTGTAGCAAGGTCCTTGTTGAGTTTTTCAATTCCAGAATTCACTTTTTCCTGTTCATCCTCTTTCTTTTCAAGTCGTTTTTCAATCTTTTTGAGGTCTTCTCTCTTTTGCTCAAGTGTCTCTTCTTTACCAGACTGAATGTATCTGAAAAATAAAAAATGATATTCAAGGATTCTAGCACCATTCATGGTTCTGTTTGGTTCTGAAAGAGAGGTACAAAATTGTGTAACATTTCATACATTAAACTTACGCCTTCATATCTTGGTTCACATTCTTCACCTTTGTAGCATCGTTTTTGACCTTGTCAATCTATGAAAAATAAAGAATTTTATTTAAGACTATTTAAACATAAAGTATTTAAACATTCTTAAGTATACAAAAGCTTCAATTTGTATACTGTACTTGTACATGAATCTGATTGTGTAACCATACAACTTTTGATTTTAAAATTAGTTAACACCACCTGTACTTCAACAAATCAAGACATATGCCTCCTAAAATCATAAGTGATGATAAAATGTAAAGTATAAATTAAAGTTTACCATGACTTTGGTTTGTTCCATCTGGTCTTCTTTAGCTTCTACAACATCCTGCTTCTCTTTCACAGTTCTGTCTATCTGGTTCTGTAATGCAACACAACAATACAATATTCTGTTTCTCTCTTGCAGTTCTGTCTATCTGGTTCTGTAATGTGATACAACATTCTGTTTCTCCTTCACTGTTCTGACTATTTGGTTTAGTAATGTAACACAATACCATATTCTGTTTCTCTCCCACAGCTCTATATATCTGGTTATGTAACATGATACAATACCAGATTCTGTTTCTTCTTGACTGTTCTGACTACTTGGGTTAGTAATGTATATATCATAAATCATTTATAAAACATTATATACATATAAAGTACAATATTCTGTTTTTCGTTCAAAATCTTGCAAATATGTTATATATTACATCACAAATAAAAGAAATTTTATTTCTCTGAAACAAACAAATATGTACAGTAATCCTTTATAACTGGTAGCAAATCAATGATCTGTAATTTTACTCTAAAAATTTGGTACAGAATTACTTATTTCAACATCAGAAATCAGATTTCATTCACATAAAATATGTATATGTAGAAAAACATACCTGAAGTGGTCGTATCTGTGTGGCTGCCTCCTGAAACGCCGAACAGTGACATAACAGTTAAAGTTACCACTGTACCAGTTACAATCCTGAACCAAAGTTACACTTCTGGTTTACTTAGTATTTTACATTGTTTTCATTTCCCTTATATATCTACACAAAGCAACATTTATAATAAAGAATCTTTTTTCTTAGAAAATGACCTCAATGTTTTAATCATTTTATCTCAATAATTTCTATTAAAGCAGTTGGAAGGATTGTAGGTATTTAGCGCGACCTGAGGAACTTTCCTTCATCCATTTCCAACTAAGATGATTTTATACGCAATAGATGATGTCGTTGTGGTTAGACATTTTTTCTGTTACCGTAGAACACAAGCACAAAGAGCTGATAAATAATGCAAATTAACACCACTCATTAAAATTCACATAAGACTTTTTACAACTGCTGTTTATATCTTGCTGTAATTTGTTTAAAAATCCACTTTCTAAATTATTTCAAATCTTTTTTGATGAAGATCACCTTCATTTTTTCATATCAAGAATATTATAACACTTCCAAAAAATTCAAAACACAAACCTTGATATCTTTCTCATAGATCTCATTCTCACTGAGAAGATGTGCTTTGTCTTCCTCTAATTTGTACCTCTGCTGGAGATCATTATCAATCTGAAGCTTTTCTTCTCTCAAAGAGTTAATGTTGCTCTTCAAACGCTGCACCTCCTCAGAATGATCATTTACTTTTTGTCTCTTGTGGTCCAATTTCCTTGTAATTGTATCTCTATAAGATGAATATTTGTATTTGTGCTTGTATGGGTTAAGTGGACTTTCCATTTTTTGTTTTTATATTGCTCTTTTTTTCCTTAATTCTGAAAAGATGACTGCATTAATTCATTCATTGATTCAGTTTTCAAATTCCTCTCTTTATAACTTGAACTACAGCCTATCTTAGAGGATTAATCCAGTTAAACATCTACTTGACCCCTGGACTCCAAAATAAATAACTTCTATCATTAGTTCAATTTCCTACTTATTACTTCAAAACACACTATCAATCAGATTCTATGGGTGAAACCACTAAGCAAAATCTGAAGTCCAGTGATAGGGTAGATGTTCTACTGGCAGTCAATGTTTCACATCCACTCACACTTTCATCTGTACATCTTCCTTTTCATTAATGACATTTTGAAGAGTTCTTCCTGAGTCTGAAAAAAGTTTAAAGAGAATAAATACATAAATACATCTGTTATTCAACATTATTTTTAGATCACAAGCTGTGTTTGGAAATCAATTTCATGAATATCTACTTCACATGGTGAACAAACTTTTTAAAGTTTCAAGATAAAATGGCTGTTATTCAAATACTAATAATTTTTTTCCAGAAGATATTTTTTCTGAACAGGAGGCCCATTTGGCCTGTATTGCTCACTTGGTTTAGTTTGCTGAAATTGATTTATTTCACTAGAGGGAGAAGTATTCAAGACACTTATATCTAGTTTCCCGCAGTAAGCTCCTCCTCCAAAAGGGGGTTGGACACACCGTTTACACAAAACTGATTTCCAAACACCCAAGCATGCGTCAGACCAAATTTGGACCTTATTCTATAATTCTTAAAGAAATTGATAGATTTTACCTATTGAGGCCCCGCCACTCTCCAGACCAAATTTGATTAAAATCCGGTCAGTCATTCTTACAATATTTGGTCTGTTTGAAATTTAATATAAAATTTCATATTTGATGAGAAATTCATAACAGTTAATTATTTTATTATCTTCAGTGAGAAAACAATGCAAAGGTCTCCATACTGTTCAAGTTCCATCCACATGGGTACTATGGTGCATTGCACCTGTATCTAATCTTGAAATATTGTATGGTTTTTAAAGTTCAAAAGATGATATAATTATATTTCAACATAGTATAAGCACACATGTTTGAGTGGTTATCACATTTTAACAATTTTTGCACTAAAATAACAGCACTGCACATAATAAGTATCTTTACAGTAGAGTGACTTTATCACTCAACTCCCCACTCTCTATGTATAAACATAATAAGTATATTTACAGAGTGACTTTAGATATTTACAGTGACTTTATCACTCAACTCCCCACTCTCTATAAACATAATAAGTATATTTACAGTAGAGTGACTTTATCACTCAACTCCCCACTCTCTATGTATAAACATAATAAGTATATTTACAGTAGAGTGACTTTATCACTCAACTCCCCACTCTCTATAAACATAATAAGTATATTTACAGTAGAGTGACTTTATCACTCAACTCCCCACTCTCTATCAACATAATAAGTATATTTACAGTAGAGTGACTTTATCACTCAACTCCCCACTCTCTATGTATAAACATAATAAGTGTATTTACAGTAGAGTGACTTAATCACTCAACTCCCCACTCTCTATAAACATAATAAGTATATTTACAGTAGAGTGACTTTATCACTCAACTCCCCACTCTCTATGTATAAACATAATAAGTATATTTACAGTAGAGTGACTTTATCACTCAACTCCCCACTCTCTATGTATAAACATAATAAGTATATTTACAGTAGAGTGACTTTATCACTCAACTCCCCACTCTCTATGTATAAACATAATAAGTATATTTACAGCAGAGTGACTTTATCACTCAACTCCCCACTCTCTATGTATAAACATAATAAGTGTATTTACAGTAGAGTGACTTTATCACTCAACTCCCCACTCTCTATGTATAAACATAATAAGTATATTTACAGTAGAGTGACTTTATCACTCAACTCCCCACTCTCTATGTATAAACATAATAAGTATATTTACAGTAGAGTGACTTTATCACTCAACTCCCCACTCTCTATGTATAAACATAATAAGTATATTTACAGTAGAGTGACTTTATCACTCAACTCCCCACTCTCTATGTATAAACATAATAAGTATATTTACAGTAGAGTGACTTTATCACTCAACTCCCCACTCTCTATGTATAAACATAATAAGTATATTTACAGTAGAGTGACTTTATCACTCAACTCCCCACTCTCTATAAACATAATAAGTATATTTACAGTAGAGTGACTTTATCACTCAACTTCCCACTCTCTATGTATAAACATAATAAGTATATTTACAGCAGAGTGACTTTATCACTCAACTCCCCACTCTCTATGTATAAACATAATAAGTATATTTACAGTAGAGTGACTTTATCACTCAACTCCCCACTCTCTATGTATAAACATAATAAGTATATTTACAGTAGAGTGACTTTATCACTCAACTCCCCACTCTCTATAAACATAATAAGTATATTTACAGTAGAGTGACTTTATCACTCAACTCTCCACTCTCTATAAACATAATAAGTATATTTACAGTAGAGTGACTTTATCACTCAACTCCCCACTCTCTATAAACATAATAAGTATATTTACAGTAGAGTGACTTTATCACTCAACTCCCCACTCTCTATAAACATAATAAGTATATTTACAGTAGAGTGACTTTATCACTCAACTCCTCACTCTCTATGTATAAACATAATAAGTATATTTACAGTAGAGTGACTTTATCACTCAACTCCCCACTCTCTATAAACATAATAAGTATATTTACAGTAGAGTGACTTTATCACTCAACTTCCCACTCTCTATGTATAAACATAATAAGTATATTTACAGTAGAGTGACTTTATCACTCAACTCCTCACTCTCTATAAACATAATAAGTATATTTACAGTAGAGTGACTTTATCACTCAACTCCCCACTCTCTATGTATAAACATAATAAGTATATTTACAGTAGAGTGAGTTTATCACTCAACTCCCCACTCTCTATGTATAAACATAATAAGTATATTTACAGTAGAGTGACTTTATCACTCAACTCCCCACTCTCTATGTATAAACATAATAAGTATATTTACAGTAGAGTGACTTTATCACTCAACTTCCCGCTCTCTATGTATAAATTTATGATCTTCATCCATAAATTTAAACATTGCTGGTTTGTAATTTAGTATAGAACATTAACTGTGTTAACTGAAAGAATTACCTCCCCCTGACAGATTAGCTGCTTGTGTGGCAATCTTTTTATCCAGTTCCGTGACTTCACCGTTATAACGATCCATGAGGACAATGTCCGGCTGGATCTGTTTGGCCATGTCCTCATCCTGCTCCTTTGTCTCGTGGTCATCAGTCAACTAAAAAAAAATACAAAGAAGTCAGATGTATCAACAAGGTCAAAGATCATGATCGGTCAACTGAAACCTGAACATATCAACAAGGTCAAAGGCCAAATGATATCATCAGTCAGCTGAAACCAAACAAATGAAGTCAGCTGTATCAACAAGGTCAAAGGTCATCATCAGTCAGCTGAAATCAACCCAACAAAGTACTATGTACTGACAAGGTCAAAGGTCATCATACGACAACTTATATAAAAAAATACAATTGTATGTATCCACAAGGTCAAAGGTCATCAGTTCCATGAGCATGGACTTCAAATCCATAAAGTATCAATGACCTACAATTGATTGTCCCTAAATTTAATAATACAGTGTTTTCAACAGTATTTTTAAGTATTTTATTTTTCCTATGCTGAGGTGGAGACTTGCAGTTTTCCTATGAATACATTTTACTTGAGCATAAATATGAGCATGAGTTCCATGATTAACATACCTACTGACTTGACATACAACAGAATGACAATGCATATATCACTTCTTAGAACAGAGTTATCATTTTTCTAACATTTAAGAATTGTATAATGACATTGGTACTGTGGTGAAGCTTACATCAGCTATTGTTGTCCTCAGTTTTTCTATTTCTTCATTTGTCTTTCTCACTTTGCTCTTCATTTCTGGGATTTCCGTTTCCTCCAGTATACTCATCTACAACAGAAATCAAAACAGCTCTATAATTCTAAATTACAAACCAACATCAAGTAAAAATGCACTTTATTTAGGTAAACCATGGAATTTGAATCCATCTTACATGCTTTTTTAAAGATGATTCTTAATTAGTGATATAAATACATCTGTCAAATAATTCTATTTATAGTAAAGTAAAATAAATAAAGGATAATAATCTTCCAATACTTTAACAATGTCATAGAACAAACATACAAAGTATTTTGTCCAGTGCAAGTCTTGTCATTTGGTGTCAAAACAGAGGAACTTAAAATATATAATTCAACATTTTCTTATTCAAAATTCACCAGTTTAATATTTGCAATATTTGAGTAAATTAGACACTGGCAAAAAAAACCATAGTATTTTATTTCTCTATTATAGAATGATTATTGTGATCATGAATTTAGGAGGACGTTCCTACGAAGGTTGTTTTCTCACATTTTCTTTGAGAGGTTTAAGTTGCATCATAGCGTCATATTTCTTCTCAAACTCCAATAAGTCCTTTTCTGCCTTCCTCAGTTTGGCAGGAACTTGTCGAAGCTTTTCCTTCAGCTGTGAATCACCATAAAAGCATTGCTAAATCAGAGATGTGTTACTTTATGACAGGAGCTATTTCTGCGACAGACAGAATATCAAGAAAGCACATTAAAAGGAAAGTTTGATCAATGAGGGAGTGGTTTGTCTACCAGATAATGATTTCTAGAGTGACAACATCTTTTCATTCGAACAGAATATCCTGGAATTGAATGTTGAATTAATGAATCGTTTTCCATATTACCTCTAGGACAAGTTCTTTTGTTTCCTGTTCGGTATCAAATTCACGACGACAAAGAGGGCAGCACGGTTCTTCCTGTTCCAATTTCTCTACATATTTCTTATAGAAATGTTCAGCACCCAACAGAGATCCCTTGGAACTGTAGATACACAAAATGATACCATAAGACCTGCAATCACTTTCTGTTAAAGGAATAGAACTACTTGCCCTCTACAAAGTCCATCTGTATGGAATTAATTAATTTTCTGAATGTTACATTCATCCTGTGGTAAGTTCTGGGACTAAATCATTACCTGCAACTCACAGTCAGTGAGTCAGCTCAACACTAAAACTGCAAGGTGAACTTATTAGCAAGTTCACTGTATGATATAAACATCTTGATACAGGTGTGAACTTTTAGACTTGACTCTACCAACAACATGTTCATTGCACTTACTCTTGACATTGAGCCTTTTTATTCTGCAGAACTGCCATCCCATCCTCAAAGTTTTGACTCCCACACACAGAAAATATCTTCTCTTCCATGTCTACAGCAAAAACATTTAGTGAAGTTTCAGATGTAACAAAACATAATTTTTTTTTTTTTAATTCTTGAAGAAATTCTGACCACAGGATCATACAAAATGATTCAAAGTCTTCAACTGTTTTCAGATTTGATTTCACCAATTACAGAAAACATCACAAAAAAAAAGTACTAGTACGTAATTGAGTAAACAAAAACTTCAGATTGTTTCATGATCCCAGGTATTTTTGATAAGCAGTTTATAACAGGATAAAACTGAAATTGACATAAAAATACTATCTTATCAATGGGTCGACTAGAAATTGTAACTACAAAATCATAGATTTTCATGTGACCCAATTTTCACTGCTTTTCATGAAAAATTTCTAAACTTCATGGACAATTGATTTAGTGGATGAACAGAGCTCAGTAAACTGTGGACACAAGTTAAGTACCCATAAAAACCACAAAAATAAACTCCCACAAAAATTAATGGTTTTACAGTAAGATAATACACTGGCAGTTTTTCTTACTTGTTCGATGTTCCAGGGGATGACTTCTTCCTAATCAGAGTTAAGAACTTTGTTAGAACTATTTTGTTATCAGGAAATCATACTTACTTTTTAAGTCATCTTCTTTCTTTCGCAGCTGTTCACTGAAAAAAATATGAGTTTCCAACAGGTAAGTGGAATTTGATAATACAGAAAAAAAAATTTCATATGCCTTTTGTATTTCAAAATCATCTAGATGTTCCACAAATATTAACTTTGACCCTTTAACTTCTACAAACGACCACTAAAATCTACTCTGGTGTTAAACGTCATGCTACAATACAATGGTGTGGATAGGAAATAAATTTGTTGATAGGTTCATTGGACTCATCTTGTACACAATTTTTATCATGAAAATGGTCAAAAGTGACCAATGGCCATTTAACATTGACCACTGTCCACAATATCAAAGGTGTATAGAGGTTTCCTGGTACGTCATTATGTTTAAATGTGACAGTGTTAACAGTTTGTTGAAATATTATTTACAAACATCAAGTTTCCGTATGTTAACTAATACTGACCTCATCATCTTTTTCTCTGCTTCTTTAGATGACAGCGATGTCTGAGATTTCCGAAGATCTTGTGAGAGTTTCTTCACAGATTCATTCTGACTCCTGTAATTTCAAGTCGTTTATTTTAAATTTATTTTTCATCTTAAATTTCAAACTTTATCAACTTTTTTACATTGTTTCAATGATACTTCTTTCTCTAACTGTATTTGAAATTTTCACAACTGCCTTTTAGCTCGAAGGTATGGGGTCACCTGCCCGACCACGTGGGTTTTCCCAAAGTACTCAGGTTTCCTCCTGCACTAAGACTCCTTGCATGCTTCCATCCGAGCCAACAAGAGTGATTAATATAAGTTGGAAAAACTTGCTTCGCACTTTTTGTAAAATGAATGTTTATTATCATTACTGATGGAAAAACAACAGAACATACAAGACATAACAAGAACACAAAACAGCTTACGTGATATAGCTGTCCAGCTGGCCGCGGATGTTACTCTTTGGTACGTCCCCCATCAAGTAGGATAACGTGTCTTCATGTTTGGTTCGCCTAGAAGTAAAATATCGCAGTCTTCAGGATAAAACTGAAAACTTGTACAGCCAAAACCAAATCATCCAGCATACCTTTCATGTAGTAAATAAGTGTGATTTTCTTCTACTGTAAATTATCAATCTTAGAATTGTTTTATTTTCATTGATTTAGTGGGTAAACAACAGCCCTTATAAGGTCCTCAGGTAAATCGCTGGAAAAAGGATACCACAAGGTAAGGAGGGAGTGACTCAGTAGGCACAATAACAAGACATCTGGTAGGAGTGTTCTCAACAGTAACCAGCTTCACATCTTACATAGGTTGTATATTCTATTCCTTGTCGACCTGTTTCACTGTGTTACGATTCATAAGGGCAAATTTTTGTGCCAACATGTGGTACCTGTATAACAATATAATGTCATGTGATAAGGGTACAACTTTAAGGGTGCTTCAGGGGCTGAAACTTGTAACTTTGCCCTGGTGAGCTGGCAAGGAATAAAGTACACTACTTACTTGTGATGTGAAGCTGGTCAGTGTTGAAAACATTCCTATCTGAGTTCTTGTACATGTATTTTTGTCATTAAAATGAATGGAAATGGAAATACACTACTCACTTGCATTTAATTTACATATATAGCAATTATGGATTATGATTTTTCATATCAAATAAATTAATCAAAATCTGATGATTTTCAATTAGTTTTAATTAAAATAATAATAGATCATCAACAAAACACTAAATAAGAACTTTGAATTATCTATTATGTAAAAGTGGTTATCAACTGGACAACATACAGACGTCGTATTGTCTCTTCTTTAGATATCTTGTCTTTCTTCAGCACATCTAATTGTGCTTGGGCACTCGACTGGAGATGCAGGCGGTTCATCTCTGAACTGAAAATAACATGGACAGCATTGATTTATAGGAATCCAGTAGAAATTCAATTCACATTATCACTTGATGCTACAGATTGCAAAACTCAGGTAGAGCAATCACCATCTTCTACAGTGAAATCCGCGTAATATCATGTTCTATTTGTCAGAGAAAAATGTGATACAAAGTGGAACATGACATTAACAGTTGACACATTTTCCCAGATGTCTAAACCCGGCAGTTAATTTTCAGATGCGCTAACCTGACCTTTTTCTCAAAGAAATTGTTTTAAGACAATAGATTTGAAATTTGATCTGATTTTCCGGTAAGAATGGTGATTTTCCTTGTCTTTTGTTTGTGTATTCTTTGAAATATCTAAACTGTAATTTTATAAAAACCCAAAATTGTCTTTGAGTTCAGGATATTTAATGATATGAAATCAAGTCAAGATATTTACAACTCATCAGTTTGACAACTGGATAAGAAATAAATTGAATCGCAGATAAAACAGAGAATCACCAATGAGTATCAATGTTAATATGGAATTCGCGAAACAAATTCAATAAGGAGCCTTCAGATAAGTGACAGATCAATCATTTAACAAGGTTAATAAATTCCATATCACATCGTTCTGAGTGTAAGAATCTATTTATCATAAAATTTGTATTTCTGAAAAATAAGCAAAAATTTCAAGTTAATTACCTTACAAGACAGACTAATTTTAACATGAAAAGTACATTTTTCTCTTCCAAGAAAATAATGTGAGACTTGTTACCTCAGTGCCCCTATCTGTGTGACCAGTCTGACTTGTTACCTCAGTGCCCCTATCTGTGTGACCAGTCTGACTTGTTACCTCAGTGCCCCTATCTGTGTGACCAGTCTGACTTGTTACCTCAGTCCCCCTATCTGTGTGACCAGTCTGACTTGTTACCTCAGTGCCCCTATCTGTGTGACCAGTCTGACTTGTTACCTCAGTCCCCCTATCTGTGTGACCAGTCTGACTTGTTACCTCAGTCCCCCTATCTGTGTGACCAGTCTAACTTGTTACCTCAGTGCCCCTATCTGTGTGACCAGTCTGACTTGTTACCTCAGTGCCCCTATCTGTGTGACCAGTCTATCTGTTGACTACCTCAGTGCCCCTATCTGTGTGACCAGTCTGACTTGTTACCTCAGTGCCCCTATCTGTGTGACCAGTCTGACTTGTTACCTCAGTGCCCCTATCTGTGTGACCAGTCTGACTTGTTACCTCAGTGCCCCTATCTGTGTGACCAGTCTGACTTGTTACCTTAGTGCCCCTATCTGTTCATCTAGTTTTGTCTTGTCCTTGATAAGCTGTGAGATTTCTTGTTTGGTCTTTTCAACGTCTAGGCTTTCTTCTACCATCTGCAGGTCATGGTCCTAAACACAACCAAAAAATATTGTAATATTCAAATTATGTATAGGGACATCAAAAATTGTTCAATGGTTTTGTGCATCCACTTCTTATATAGAATTTTGGATCTAGACTATCTACATTTAAATACAGGGAATTCTAGAAACTCTTTTATCTTCAACAACAAAAAAAATTGATTTTTTTCACATACAGTGTCCAAATAACTGTATATACTATATAATACTCAACAGAAAACAAACATAAACACATATTTGTGGTATGCCATTCTGTATCTATTTATATGTAATTGTTTTTGTTCTGCTGACCTGTCTCTTAAATCTTGTTTAGCACATGTTAAAATAGTGCTTAATCAATACCCATCCCCAGAAGGAAGACAAGATTTTCCCTGACTGAAAGTTTGGATATTTGAATCCATAGATATAGAAAATATTATCTTTATCAGAATTACAGGACATTGTACGTACAGCACGCTTGAGTTCCCGAGTCAGCTGGTCCCGTTTACCCGCTGAGGCCTCTACCTGACTTAACTTCCTGTTTATCTGCTTCATCTTGTCTGTGTTGTCTGCCTGTCAACAAAACCATTGTCATCTGTGTTATCTGGCAATAACTCAAGATAAATCAGGTATTATATATCAGATATATAATACTTTCCTAACTGTGATTTGCAAATCACTGTAACAAAGCATATCTTTGTGCTCGTTTACACTTCCAGTATAGTTGTTTAATTTATCAGACTAATATTCTGCAACTGTTACAGTGTGGGCTAATTAGTGCACATCTAATTTCACATTATACAGCCATTTTTCTGAGATTCATTATAAAAATGTTTCCTGGTTATTTCATTTCACTCATTCTTTAATAACCATGAAAAGGACTATAACTATGAATTTAGCCAAAAACAACCATGAATAGGACTAATTAAAAAGTAATCAACTGGTTCCATAAGGCCAGGAAATGTTTGCATGAAAAATATCCCCATGCAGGGGGATACAAACACTTTTGAAAACTTAAAAACAAGGCATTTATTTTAGAAGTTATCAAATTTGGCCTATGGACAGGATGGATGGACGGATAAACGGACAGACATGAAAAGCACTTTACAGGCCTCAAATTTAAGGCTTTTTACTGGCTATTTGCAAGAAGAAATCAAAGAATTGCAAGAAGAAAAAATAATGACTTGTTTTCAGCAAGTGGATTCATCAGATGCAAACTGTGAGTGCCTGTCTATTCCTAACATTTCACAGAATTGTTTTGAGTTTTGATTTTCAAAGTGTAAAAATATTAGGACAAACCAGTTCTTCTATATTGTTGATAAATATTGGATGAAGCAAGGTAATACATTATAAATCACAACATAAAACACATTATTTGAACATAGAGATTTGCAATAATAGCAAGTAAAAAGTCATTTTAGCAAATACAAATTTACGGCACTTGCTGTTTTCAGCAAGTGACAAAAAATGTTAAATTCAAGGCCTGCTTTATGCCTCTTTATAAAATGACGAGGGCATAACCACACATCAAGGAACCGTTAGCAAAACACAGTTATTTCTGACCAATTTATACCAACTTATATAAGGGAGATACAATAGATGTCATGTACATGCTCAACAGTGTATACAACTTCGATGAAACATCAAACAATTCTGTAACATCATATAGTTTCTCGGGGCTAATATTTGTGGTTTTCCAAAAATGTACATTTTCGTCGGCCTTTGATTTCACAGATAAATTTCAATAGTACTTCAATTTTCATCAGATGATTATTTTGTGGACATATAGATGCATGGATTTAGAGTACTCACAATTTAAACAAAAATGAATCCCCAAAAAATTAATAATTTTACAGTATATTGTATTTATCAATCTAACATATCGAAAATAAAAAAAAATGAAAGTGCTCACCATCATGTTTTTCTTGATGCGTTCATTTTGTTCCAGTTTGGTTTTACTCTCTCTCAAATCATCCATCTTCTGTTGTAGCTCTGCTTCTTGTTTTTCAAAGTCTGCCTTCAATTAAATCAGTTAAAAAGTATAATTTCAATTCAGTAAAATGTCATATTTTAGTTGAAAGTGGCACACATATAGTTGTGACTATGTCTAGCATTGTCGTAATTAATCAAGGTTTGTTTTTCCTGTCTGAACACTCTATCAACACCTATGATCAGGACAGAGTTTATCGAAGTGAAACTGAGAACAAACTTTGCCCACATTAAAGTGTTCCCATTATGGTTGGTTTGTTGGGTAATTGCTCCATGAACAGACAGGATCTCCTTATAGAAGCTGGTAGCTACCTCAATGAACAACATACAGGAGGAACATCACATGCCATCAAGTACAATTAGAGTCATGTTTCTAGACAAAGAAGACAATCATGCCAGCACAGTTTGTTTCTCAACTTCCTGTGAAACCACAACCGAACCACACACCACAAGTGTTCACCTGATGTTACTTAGGCCCACATTCCACCAACTGATAAAAAACTGATACACTATAAATGCCATGACACATTTTTTTAACAAAAATTTCTGATACTCAGTGAAACTTATCTCAAAGTTGTATTTTCAATATGCTTCTGAAATTCTAGAATCCTAAAATACAACATTAATGAAATACTATAACCTTTCTTCACTAATTTCTTTAAATTCTGAATATCAATTTTGGTGATATATATTTTATCAACAAAAAAAAAAAAAAAACCAAAAAATTCTCCCTTGACACTCCCTATTACTTCAAGGAGGATATGAGAGATATGAAAGTATATGTATTTTCAGTTCTCACTGACAAGCTAATTATTTTCAATAAATGGTATTAGTTTCAATTACCACACATGCATAAAATATACAAATTCAAAATAATGATTGTTAATGAGGGCAGTGTTTATAAAGATCCTGATCTGAAATAAGCATTGATGTGATATACTTTGAGTTGTTTCCCTTCTTCTACCATCGTAACAAGTTTCTCGCGGATATTTTCAACAAATTGACGATACTTCTCCTCAGTAATTTCACCTCTTGAAAACCCTGAAATAATACAAACATATCAAAAATATGACTGAATGTAAATGGGACAAAGGTGTATATTAAGTTAACAATGGAAGGTTTAAGACAAACCCAGGTCCTGCGAGAAAATGTGTATTTGCCACTATTAAAGAAAGGAGAGCTTGTGGACATTTTGAAACAGAAAGACCCATGAAACATAAATATGATTGTTCAGTTTAGTTTATTGTTGCTTGACTTTTTTTAACAGGACATGCCAAATTTAGGAAGTAGAGGAAAGGTGGAGTTCCTGGACAAACACAACTGACCTGCACCCAGTATTTATAATTGTCATGTAATAAAAAGAATGTTTACATATAAGACTCATTCAAGGATTTACAAATCTAAAAGTCAAAAATTGTAAAATATGTAACTGTTTATATAGTTTTTGGAGCTACAAAGAGATAACCAAGACCCAAGTAATTAATCTGAACCAAAGTATATCAAAACATTTTCACATTAATTTTCTGTTAATAAAAATGACCACAAACGTCAACCTCAACTGCATATTTGGGCAGCTAATTGTTACTCAACAAAAGGTATTTTTTATAATAATAGAATGCATTAGTGTACTTATACATACCATCAAATTCATACTTGTCAGCCATTTGTCGAATCAAGGCATCTCGTCTCTTGGTATTTTCTTTATGATTCTAAAACAAAATATTCCCATAAAATTGTACAATGCATTAATTTAGTTTAAATTCTAATAGTTTTGTATCTCTGTCTTCTCCATTGTAAGATGTGAACATCTGAAACAGTGATATTTTTGTTATCTTGCGAGGCATTAATAAGATCTTGAAATTCTGATCCATTAAATAATCAGACACATAATCAGACATATATAAGTAATTACTGCAATGGTTCTGTCATTGACTTGGCAGTCTCCAATTATTCAAGGATATTTCAATAATAACAACTGTTTCAATAGATTCAATGGCAGGTAATACCTACTGTTTGTTACACCTATGCAATATTTGAATTTTTATGCCCAACTCTTTATTAGATATTGTTGAATCATTCTACTGTTTGAATTAAATACAAGAAAATCAGGAATTTGAGACTTGATATCAAGAGCAATATTTGCAATCAAAGATTATCAACTTACATCCAGATCGAAACATCTGAATTTGTTAAAATTAAATTGTTTTATTTCAAATGAAAATCACGAAAACTTCAACCCAGGCAAATAAGCATCAATACAGAAATATACCTGGGCCTCCTGTTCCAGTTTGCTTACGTCAACCAGGGTGTCATTTTTATTCTTTACCACACGGTCAACATCTCTTGAAAGGTCCTCTTTGCGACGCTGATACTGAGGAAATGAAATACATATACTTTTTATACAATATCATTAAAAAACTGGGTTTTATTAATTTGATGCGACACCAGCTTTAAGGGTATATTATAAGACTGAACAGGATAGCTTTATGTTAACCTGGTTTTCATTCACCAGCCCTACTTTTTATACCTAATCTCCCACTCTCAGAACAATTCCCTGCAAACTTTCCTAATAATCTTTTGACAGATCAATTCAATAATGATTGCCATTCCAAGCTTTTTTTCTCTTTAGTGACAGTGATAAAATGTTACTGTATATAACTTCAGCGGATTTGAAAATTAATTCCCCCCAAGCCTACCTCTTGTAGTTTTTCCTCCCTCTCCTGAACCTTGCTCTGAAAATCTGCAAGGACTTTTTTTAGTTCCTCAGTGGAGCCTTCAATAAAGAAGAACAAAGGTAAGAGTATAATAACATAGATACAAACAGAACAAACATTTTGGTGAGGATGACATTGGCTTATTCAAAAATAAATTGATCATCACTATATTACATGCCTGTATGTCGTAAAACTTTAATATTTTTGAGCATGGAATCAAATCACCCAATTTTTTTTTTTAAATAAAAAATCATATAAAGTCATATATAGTTTTTTCTTAACTTAAATGCAAAAAAAAACTTGCAGTACAACACTGATAGTGACCTTTAATTAAAAAAATATGGACAATACCAGAGGCATTTCATCATCTATTTTAAGATATGTAGCACTGTAACATACAAAACATTGAACAAAATGGTAGTTCAGTATTTTCATATCATTTATCATGTTATGTTTACTATATTTTACCTTGGAATTCGTTATCAATATTTTCCTGTAGTTCCTCAGCTGCCTTCTCCATCTGTTTCAATTCACTCTGATGTTTAGCTGACATCAGGGATTATAATTGGAGATATAGACATTTTAATTGGTGTTTATTCCACGAATTAAAACATTGTCTATTGAAATGGTGTCAATTTCCCTAATCTCTTGTCAGGTTTCAGTTTTAAAAGAGGAAAAAATTTGTGGAAGCATTCAGATCTTCAAATAAATGAAGAGTATCACAGGGTTAGAAATTTTGTGTTAGCAGTTGTTAGTTGTCAAATAAAACTGATCAACAGTTAAAAGTTGATACAGATTAACTTTTGTGAAACTAGCTATAATATACTAGATGGTAATGTTGATTATTACCCATGTCTAAATTCACGGGGAGGAAATTTTGCCAATTGTAAAAATAATGAAATTTGCAAAAAGTAAATTTGATTAAAATGACAGTATTTTCATATCTACTGGAAATCATTAATAAAGAATCTTACTATTTTGAATACTTACTGACATCTGTTTGAATTTTGTAAATTTCACCTGCTTTTACACTGATTTGGTCTAGTTTTTCCTGAAATATACACCTTACAATTTTATAGATTATCTTTCCATCATGTCAATTAACAAAATCCATAAAGTGGATGTGGCCTATTTCCTAGATAAATGTAAGAATGTTAAATCTTTCTATATATCTTAAAGATTCCTTACTAAATGAAGTTGTTCATGATATGTGTATTATAACTTAGGTCTATTCCAGTAAAACATCCACTTGACTCCTGACCTCCAATAATAAATCACTTTTTCCATTCTTAAATTTCCTGTTTATTATTTCTAGTAAATTAGCAATTAAATTCTATGTATGGAAACCCTTAATTAAACTAAGCGTGAGGCAGCTCTTTTACTGGAACAGCCCTAAGCAAAATTCAGGATGAAAAGCATAACCCTTTTATAGAAGCTGCAAAAAAATCCTACAACTTTCGTTTGTTTGGGGTCATTCTATTGGTTGTGATGGCAATCCTCTTTACACTTTGAATCAGTGTTTCAGATGACAAAACATCCTAATCATTTCATTGTTAATTACCTCAATTGGTACCAACTTCTCTGCCACCTTGACCACTGACTCCTTAGATGCTTCTAACTTGACCTCAAGTTCATTCATATCAGCATCCAGCTAGGAAAGAAGATATACATTACATGATATTGTTGTGAATGTACATACGGTGATGTGGTGTGTCTTTAGCAAACTAGTCAATGTCAGCTTAACTTAAAGAGAAGGGGAAACATTTCACTAAGAAGGTAGAAAATTTATAAAGAAACAAAACAACTTGTTAAGTGTAATAGATAGAGACAACTGAAACAGAAGGGAGACAACTTACAAACAAGAGTACCACAGGGTGGAACAATATACGTCTGTCCAAAACTATTCAAGAATAAATGAAAAATTACTTAAGTTATTGAGGTAAAACCTATTTTGCAAATAATAATAATAACAATAATAATAATAGTTCTGGACGCAGGCTTTTAAAGCCTATATATATCCAGATCTGAGTTATCAAGTTTCCCGAAGATGAATAAGTTTGTTATTGTCTATTTCATGACTGTAAATGCAATCGGAATTACTCCAATGTTTATCCAATTGGGATTCAAATGTTTTGACTGTTGGTGATGTGACAACAGCATCAGGAAGGGAGTTCCAGAAGTTAACCACCCGCTCACTGAAGGAGTACTTTCTCAAATTCAGTCTGCTTCTCCTTTTTAATAAAGAAAGACTGTGTCCTCGTGTTATTTTGTTAATGTTCGGGACCAGTAAACCCTCAGAGACAGCACTATCATATCCTCCATGTGTTAGCTTGTATACTTGGATCATGTCTCCTCTCAATCTTCTGTGCCTCAATGATGGTAATTTAAGGATCCTTAGCCTGTTTTCATAGCTTAGGTCTTTCATTCCCGGTATTTGTTCATTGTTCTCCTTTGTACATTTTCCACCTCATTTATATCTTTTTGCATATAGGGATTCCATACACAGGCCCCATATTCCAGGTGTGGACGTACAAGCGCTTTATATAATAAACAACATGTCTTGTTGTCTAAATATGTGTACGTTCTTCGGATAGTTCCCATTATTCTATTGGCTTTGTTGACTGCATCGTGAATATGTTGGTTGAAATTGAGGTTGTTATCTGTTATGATTCCAAGATCCTTTATTTTCGTTATGCACTGTAATGTAGCCTCGACTCTTCTGCTTTCCTCGTTTTTATATAAATGTAATGGTATATTATGGTTTTTCTTTCCTACCTGCATAACTTTACATTTGTCATGGTGAAATTTTAGGAGCCATGTATCCGACCAATTTTGAAGCTTATCTAAATCTTCCTGAAGATTCGAGTTATGGTTATGACTAATTTTCGTATCATCTGCAAATAGATATGTACTTACATTAATATATTCCAGAAGGTCATTGATATAGATTAAAAAAAGGCACGGACCTAAAACGCTTCCCTGGGGAATCCCACTTGTTACCGCCCTCCAATCAGATGTTTCCCCGTTTACTGTTATGCGCTGTTTCCTGTCAGTTAAAAAACTCTGAACCCATTTGGTTATTTCTTGTGATATTCCGTATGCCTTTAACTTGCCTAATAGCCGTTGATGTGGGACAGTATCGAATGCTTTCATAAAGTCTAGGTAAACTGTTTGGATTGATCCTCCTTGATCGATAATCTCTGTCCAATGATCAATAACTTTTAGCATCTGTAAAACAGTTGACCTTCCGTTGACGAAGCCGTATTGGTGCTTACTTAACAAATCATTATTTTCTAGATGGGTCATTTTTCTTGCTCTGACTATTTTCTCCAATGCTTTACTTAGTACACTGGTTAAACTAACTGGCCTGTAGTTTCCTGGTGCCTTCTTATCCCCCTTTTTGTGTATGGCAGTTATCTGACCCTCCTTCAGGCTTTCGGGAAGTTCTCCAGATCTTAGAGAAGAGTTAAAGATATCACATAAGGGTGTTTTTAGTATATCGGCGGTTTCTTGAAGTACTTTTGGATGAATATTATCTGGTCCCAGCAATTTTGTTGGGTTCAATGATTTTAAAATGTTGTATATTTGCAGTTCTGATATTTCAGTATTGACACATGGAATGTTAACTGTAAAATTGTTCAGAACTGGGATGTGGCCTTGCGGTTCAACAGTAAATACACTCGAGAAAAAATCTGCCAATACATTCACCTTCTCCTTATCATTTTGAGCAACAACGGTTTCGTTTCCACGCTTAATGTGCAGATCCGGAATTCCAGATCTCATTTTTGTGTTGGAGCTTGCATATCTCCAAAACTTCTTTGGATTTGTTAAATGTACCAAGGGTCATAACTCTGTAAATAATGGGCGAAAGATTTTGGTTATAAAACTTGACCTGGCTTTTATGGTAATTAACTTTCATGTGAAGTTTCAAATTAATCTAAAAAATTTCACGAGTTATCGATTGGAAACCTATTTTGCAAATGTACCAAGGGCCATAACTCTGTAAATAATGGGCGAAAAATTTTGGATATCATTCTCGATCTGGCTTTAATGGTAATAAACCTTCATGTGAAGTTTCAAATTAATCTGTAAAAAATTATTCAAGTTATTGAACGGAAACCTATATGCCACCACCTACCCACGTGAAAACATAATATGTCCCGTCTTTCGACGGGTGTATAAAAAAGGTGGCAACTTTATACAGAGAGACAAGTGCTATTTTTAACAAGCATCCTGACAGCAATAACTATTCTTGTAATCACTCCATACCTGTGCTGCTTTATCCTTGTGCTGTTTAGAGTAGGTGATATCTTGTCTCAACAGTTTCAGGTCTAGGTCCTGTAATGCAGAAGAAAAAATCTGTTCTTTTTTCTAACCTCTGTGCATAACAACAATGAATACATTATTTAAGTGTTAGGTGATTTTCAAGAAATTTTCAGAAAGTTACCCTAACATAACGATAAGACAAAATTATAAATGAATATGATATCTAAAATGTAATATGTATATGAATACATATATAGATTCATAGGCAAAATTTCTCAATGTTACTACATGAAATCAGGAACATTTTTTGCCAAAAATTCTGGAAAAATGCAGTAAGTGCTAAAAAGATATACACAACACTAGTCTATTAGATGTCAGTAATATCAGAAGTCAGAATTAAAACCGTTGTATGAACTAAGTCATGTCCTTACCAATGTAATAAAAACTTATGTCAGCTAAGATTAATCATACTTTAAATGTACAAACCTGACTCTTTTTTAACTTCATAATAGTGTCGAGGGCCTTCACATATCTAGTTGATGCAAAAATGGCATCAAATTTCTCCTTCAGTGACTTGCCCTCACTGAGCGGCCAGTTAGATTCCTCTTGGTGACAGAAGATTACATTCTCCAGAACTGGCTTAGATACACCTAATGATGTTATCATCTAAAGTGGTGAAAACACATGTTTTAGACAGGGTATCACATTCCAAAACACACTAGAATAGGATATTACGTCCATATGTAACTTCTAATAAATCAACACTTGTCAAACTCTGTACTTTAAAAAGCCAAAGCCATATGAAATAATTACCTTTTTGGAGCAAATATTGGTTAAGACATTAAAGCTTGCTGTTGGCTAATGATCTTTGAAACGATATTTGGTTCCATTTATTGTTCGTGTCACAATAGCCTGTCAATCTTATCCAACGATTTTAAATCTCCACAGATAAATTTCCCGTAGTACAACAGACCTCACGATCCATTTCCGCACACTTGGAGCTGATACTTTTCTTTTCCCCTGCTGCATCTCTTCTGGTGATCACTCCTTCCAGGGTTCTCATTGTGATATTCTTCAACTACGAACAAAAACAAATCAAACCTATCATCCCAGTGTGGTCTTTAAAATTCAAGTTTCCAACTCTCCATATACACATATATCCACTGTAAAATATCTCCAGTAAATTGAAGTCCCATACACTGATAAAATTTCTAGTTGACTTTAATAATAGGAGAAGATCACATGACCAACCAAATTACGCAATTCCCCATCACAACAGATCCAGTATTCCCCTCTATCAAGCCAAAGTGTTGTAAGATTCATTTTCTTATGCTATCATTTCCTTGTAATCTCCATATAATTTTCTCAGTGGAGTCAGTTAAACCAAGTCAGTGATAACTGTTCATCTAGTCATTTTCCTGGTGACACATTTTTCCCTTTTCAGCAGTTTCTACAGTCAGAACATCATTCACTGTCACATGAACATGTTGTCAAAGTAAACCTTTGACCTTATACCTTTTGTGTGACCTGTAAACTTCTTTGTACAATAACTGTTTGTCTGGCTACATCCTTGACCTGAAGCCTGATTTGACCTTTGACCTCTCTTTCATGTGCCACCTGTAAAAGTCAAACAAAATTCTAAAGTGAACTTTAATGTAGTATAACTTTGTACTTCAAGAATATACTACAGGGTAATGTAATTTGAATCCTGACTTCAGAAGTCGCTCATCTTTATTTTTATTTCATTTATTAATATGATGAGGTCTCTTTATGCCAAGAAGTATCCTCCTGAAACCTAAGAAATGAACTAAACAAACAAATGAATTGATTAAACGATTGTCTTATTTTGTTTAAGTGAAATGTTATTGAATATCTCACCTTTGGGTCATGTACAAAAGCTCCGCCCTTTGATCCAGGAGGCATCACCCCTGTGGTCATATACTTCAGACATTCTATAACCGTCTGTAAATAATACAAATATAGATCATACACAACATACAAATTTTTTCTAACATGTCACAGGAAACACATATTTGTTGTTTGATCTAATGCATCAACTGGAAAGTTACCAATGCAATAACCACAAAAATGAGCAACAGTGATACACAGAATCTTGCACTAGTGAACAAGTATAACCGCAAATATAACAACACAAATATTTTTCATAAAACATTATGATAAACTTACAGTTTTCCCAGTTCCATTTGGTCCCAGTATCAGAGTCAGAGGACTGTAAAACTCTATCAACTGTTTATCGGAGTCTTCTGGACCAAAACTCCGGATTCCCTGGATTGTCATCTTTTCAATTGTAGACATTTTGCTTTTCTTTCAGTTTTCTTTCAGATCCATAAACCTTGACTCTACCTGAAGTTAAAAGCACTTCCTTAAGTACAATCAACAGATCATTAATTTCAATCTTTACTGCAAGTAAATGAATGTTTCCTGGAGAATTTCAGACACATCCAGTCACATTTATAGCTACAGTGCAAGCAATCAAAGCTTTTTGATCTGAAGATAAAACTTCTCAATCCAGGAAACCTTACACAAACTGAACTTGTCTTTGGCAGATGATGAGATCCTTTGTTGACATCAGTTCATGACAAATCTAGCATAATGGTCAGGATACACTAAATCAAAGGACTATCCCAACATATGGCATTCATGGCATCTATAAATGACAGAGTTGTGTAGGCAAACATAATCTTTTGCAATAAAAGCAGCAAGCGAGTGCAACCACAGGGATTGGATGTTCTATATATATGCATCCATGATACTTCAGGGGTTGAGCTCAATGTCACTCACTGCACCCGTGGAACATTTCCTGAAAAAGTTTAAGGTTCCATGTGCAGCACATTGTGGGTAAGACAAGAAGACTAGTTTCATCCTTTGCAGTATATCAAACAAATCTTGAGGTCATTTTTAAGGGTAAGTTGGACTGACTTTGAATTTGGGTGTTCAACCTTTGTTATCTTCAAAAGGAGCATATTAGTCAGTGATTGTTCAGGTTTATTTTTTCTCCTGAACCCTGCTATTGACAAATCAAATGACGATGCTTGTGCCATCAATTTTGCCAGTAAAGGTTCCAGAGAGCAGAAGTGATTGTAACTCCTGGAGTATCGAGGATGTATTTTTGTGACACAAAATGTTAAGATTAGAATATCCAGATTCCTGTGATGTAATTAATATGGTACATTTGTGTGAAAAAGAAATGTTTTTTTAACGACCATAAACAAGAGGGTAAAATGTTGTATTTGTTTACCCACAGTACCTATATCTGATGTATATATGCAAATTGATGAGCACAATCTACTGCATAGAGAACTATGTTCTAGTCCTACAGGGTTCTGATTGCCTATCCTAAATTTATTTTGCCTAGAGAATACTGACTGCGACTAAGACAAAAATGAATTGCCAGATTGTCAGAACCCTTTGGACATGCTTATGTTCAACCTTATGGACCGTAAGGTCCTTTGAATAAAATTGAATTGAATTGAATTGAACCCTCCATAACTTTCTTTTTCGATTTCATACCTGAATGTGCTAAATTTAAGTCATTTCAAAGTATGCCAAGTTTACTCGGCTGGTAATACTATCGATCTAAACAGGAAATACGAAGTGTCAAATCAATGCATCGCTTACTCAAAATACCAGGTAAATCTGGACAGGTAAAGTCACAAAACGTGTGTTTGTTTACAAACGAGGATGTTTACTTAACCTTGTGTTGTTGAAATATAACACTTTAAAATGCTAAGAAATCACACTTTAAGCTTTTAAAACGTCTGTTTGCATCTTCTTACCAAAAGTATCGCCACAATTCCACTTATTTCAGCAATGTTGACAGTTTTATCTTCCTTATACCTAGTCAGCATCATTTATTTTCCCGCGGGAGTGTTCGTTGTACCGGAAGTTGTTGCAGGGATTATTTCCCTTAACTCGACAGTCTCAAAAAAATTCCTATCAATTCGCTAGAGTTATTTCCCTTTATATGTAGGAAACGCACAATATATTTAAAACGAAGAGTTCCGTTAAATAACTTGCCGAGGAAAGTTTTTTCTTTCAGTGGGAATGTGTTTCGGAATTACATATATCTTTTGCCAAATGTACCATTAAGAATGCCAGACTTATCAACTTAAAAGGTTTCTTTAGAACACCTGATGATAATGGTGAAGCTACAGTTATCGCTATTGATGACCGTCAAAACGAGAAAATTTTACTGTGATACTATGTATGTCCTACAAATACCGGAAGACGTTTAATGGTAATAAAAAAAAAAGAAAAGGGCAGGTGTTCCGCGGTAAACAAAAAATACAATGACATTAAGATAAATAACAAAATAAATAAATACTTTCAACAAGTCATTCTACAGTATAAAACAAAATTTAGTGAACGAATTTTGATTATGTTGTCTTTCTGGAAAGTAACAAGGCACAGTATGGCACTCCACTTCACTGTTCAATTATATATGGCAAATTTTATCAATGTTTTTAACATAACACGGAAGGATATACTTTTATCATTCTATGAATACCCAGTAGTTGTGGAAATCCTGTTCCCACAAATTGACGGATCGTTTTTTCGCTAAGTGATCCATTATTGCCGTAAAAGTAGTAGAGGGGGCGGATAGTACAGAAATATATGAAAACTTGGGATTGACGTTATATATACTTTGATCAGAGATGACCCTGATACCTTAATCCCTGATTAAAAAAATATATATAAACGATCATTTCCACAACTCCATGGGTATAACTAAAATCAAGTACCTTTAACATGACAACACTTACCTGTTTCTTATTTCTTTTGTTTATGTTCTTTCTAGGAGACATATTTGCATATACAGGTATTTGTGTATCATGACACAGAAAAATTCCAATTCATTCGAAAGTCTTTCATAAATATGTTTGACAGTTTTACATCTGACTCTGGTCGGCCATCGCATTTTCTAGGCAGCGATATTCAATCTATTTCTACTTGTCTTACTTCAAATAAGTCTCACTGAATCGACAACATGAAAAGTGTTTGACAACAAGACACTCTTTTCAGAAATAAGTGGTAGATATACATGAAAGCTGAGATAATTTGTTTCACAATTGTTGTAAAACAATCACAGCTGATGTATGTTGTAAAACGAACAAAGTTGATATATGTTGTAAAACAATCACAGTTGATATATGTTGTAAAACGAACACAGTTGATATATGTTGTAAAACAACCACAGTTGATATATGTTGTAAAACGAACACAGTTGATATATGTTGTAAAACAACCACAGTTGATATATGTTGTAAAACAATCACAGTTGATATATGTTGTAAAACGAACACAGTTGATATATGTTGTAAAACGAACACAGTTGAACACACAGTTGATATATGTTGTAAAACGAACACAGTTGATATATGTTGTAAAACAACCACAGTTGATATATGTTTTAAAACGAACACAGTTGATGTATGTTGTAAAACGAACACAGTTGATATATGTTGTAAAACGAACACAGTTGATGTATGTTGTAAAACGAACACAGTTGATGTATGTTGTAAAACGAACACAGTTGATATATGTTGTAAAACAACCACAGTTGATATATGTTGTAAAACAACCACAGTTGATATATGTTGTAAAACGAACACAGTTGATATATGTTGTAAAACGAACACAGTTGATATATTCACTATGTAACAAACTTATTGGACTGATTCAACCTTTCCGTTTTGTTAAACTGCAATTCAAATGTGTTAGGTTTTGCTTTGTCAAGATAATGTTTTTACTAAACTGAAGAAAAGTTACCAATGAATTGTATATTGGAATGTTGTTGATTTATGAAGTAAAACACTGCCCAAATTATCACTGTAAAATGTTTACGATCAGTTTCATAAATTTTGAAATAAAATCAGTGGATGTTTTCCTGGTATATATTATGTAGTCATATAATTAGTTGATATCCCCCTCTATTCACCCTAAAGGATATTGTAACAGATGATTACGAAATACACAGATCACATTACATATATGACAACTGAAAGTGGTGCACGAGTTATTCCCCTTACATTAGATATTCTCCTGTGAAATTTATTTAATATATCGATTTTTGACCTTCACATCCGGTCAAATTTCATCAGAAATATTGTGATAAAAATATGACATTGTATGAACATGGTATCAATGCAAAAACCGTACAAGACAATTTTGTTGTTGGCTCAATATGACAAAGACAAATGGTTTATACAGGGAGGTATGGTTTAGTACACACACACTCACACACCTGACACACCCACATACAATGTATATCGGATACAATTTATCTAACCCTGTGAAATGCTTGTGTTTGCATGTGTGTGGTTACACCGTATAGTGTCTTTAAAAAGTCACGAATTCACCTTTGTCTTGTTGAGGTCGACAAGAAGAAAAATGAAAATGGAGGTAAATGGTCGGAACCCTTCGGAATTCTCTCGAAAAGTATCAATGTTTTTACCCACGTCATAAAAATTGAATAGAAAATGAAGTTTTTGTGCACTTATTTGTAGCAAAAAAGTGGGGGAGGAGGGAAAAGGGGATGGCTACCATCCACATTTTCAAGAAATTGTTTTATCGTTGTAGGATTTGTAAAAAAAAAGATATTTTTTATTGAATAGGACTTCGCGAATCTTGATCGACTCACTGACTGACTTTGGTCAGCAGGGATATACTTGTACGCGTCTATATGGCTCTACCTAGATATGAGTAAATCATCAATATATATCATCGAACTATAATAATTAATTAATCACAAGGTAAGGCCAAGACGAGTACATATTTTATCTTTAATGATTTATTTATTGCCATTAATACTCGACGTATAAAATAAAAACTACTTTCATGTTATCGCGTGACTATTGTCAAAGCGATATTTCTGGTACAGTGTGGCACCAGGAAAAAAAACCACACCAGCAGATTTAAAAATTACTGAAGCGCACTAAGACAGCGGGCTAAATCACCAGACATTAACACTCCTCCGCTGTAACTATTTCCGATGTAAGTTCCATTTAATTAATTTTGTTTTATATCACTTTTTTAAAATGTTGATTCTTGTAATTTGCTTCTGTTGTGTATTAAGACGTCACAGCTTTATGGCGTCATGGATTATACTTGTGTTAACAAATAAAGATGGAGATTTTATACTTAAATTTTAAAAAATACATATAAAGATCACAAAAAGGTACTCAGACCCCTCTATACTATATGCCGTTATGTTGAGAAAAAACATGTCATATCGGAGCCGTGATAACTAAAGAAGCAGAATATTGACAACTTCATGTAAAGATTTGAGATGCGTGGTTCGACACACTACCTGTGGCAGTTTGTGTTTCTCAGAAAACTGAGACTACAGACCTGTCTGTGCTGATATAGTTTTTTATTCTTGGGCAAGATACTTTATCTTAATTGTTCTGCGATGGGTCTCCCATATGTTGTTCAGTGAGGTAGCAATCAGCTACTTTAAGGATCTCCCGTCTCTAAATGACTCAGTGTTCACTAAGCGATTAAATTCAACCAACCAATCAGCCAACTAACCAACCAACCAACCAACCAACTAACCCAACCCAACCCAACCCAACATAACCCAACCAATCAGTCAACCAACATACCAACTAACCCAACCCAACCCAACCCAACCCAACCCAACATAACCCAACCAATCAGTCAACCAACATACCAACTAACCCAACCCAACCCAACCCAACCCAACCCAACCCAACCCAACATAACCCAACCAATCAGCCAACCAACCAACCAACTAACCCGACCCAACCCAACCCAACTCAACCCAACATAACCCAACCAATCAGTCAGCCAACCAACCAACCAACTAACATAACCCAACCAATCAGTCAGCCAACCAACCAACCAACTAACCCTACCCAACCCAACATAACCCAACCAATCAGTCAGCCAACCAACCAACCAACTAACCCAACCCAACTCAACATAACCCAACCCAACTCAACCCAACCAATCAGCCAACCAACCAACCCGACCCAACCCAACTAACCCAACTCAACCCAACATAACCCAACCAATCAGCCAACCAACCAACCATATCTGACTTTCTAGTATTTCTAGTATCTGTCTGCTTCAACTATTGAAAGCTGCCGAATATGACCTCTGTACCCGTATAACCATATGATGTGATCAATATGTTGTGTGTTCTACGGGAAGGCCGAATTGAACAGGTTGTCTCACTGTCTTGCAATGGGAACATATTTTGTGGTGTATTTAAGGCAATCACGGATAACACATTAAATTTTATCTGTTTATTTTCCGTCTTTGCTTGACATATCTTTGAATAAATATTAAGAATTGTAAAGATAATGAAAGAATGAAAGATGTTAGTAGGTTAGGTTATTAAAATCTTTTAAGATGAAAAGAAAAAGATACAGAATCTTGAAGCTGTGATAGTAAAAAATAAGCGACATACGGTCAACAGAATAGAACCGATAACAACAAATGTCTGATTAATACTTATAACCGAAATACTGAAGGCATAACGAGAAAATAATCAAAATTAAAAAAAAAAAACAAATTTAAATACTTTTTTCACTATCTCCCGTCCATCATCAACCGCAAGTCAGTGTTTTTTCAATAAGAGCCTTTAGAAGGTCTGTTATGCATAGTCAGGAATGCAGCGCACGTACACGTGTTTTTTTATTGCACGTGAGATGTGGTGTAGTGATGGAAAAGTCACACGAGATTTTTGATGATAATTACAGTTGAAGAAATAAAACAAATTCAAATGACTACAAATGTGTCACCTTACTTGACTCAACACAAAACAACATGATCATGATTGTCTATTTTTCTTAATTCGGGTAGTTCCTATC